TCGTCACATAATAAAGACGGTAATGAGAGGCTTCTGGCACCCACTCTGCCCTTTTCAAGGCTGTCCGACATCGATCAGCCCATAACGAAACCCCAATTACCTTGTTTATCACTTCTGTTGCTTAGCACCAAATTGACCCTCGATTCTAACTCCCGCAACCCTTTCAAGGACGCGTAAGTCTTTCCTTGAATGCGTCCTTGGCGGGCAGGGCTCGCACTCCACTTTCAGGTGAGCCCTCCCTCTCTCTCCCACCTTTCCCACGTCCCCCTAGCCACCTTCCACCTTCTCCTCCTCCTCTGCCGCATCCACCTTCGTCCCCCTAGCCACCTTCCACCTTCTCCTCCTCCACTGCCGCATCCACCTTCGTCCCCCTTCCCCTCCGAGGCTTTTCCTGTCATTCTCTTCGTGATTAGTGTAGAAGCAGTCCGAAGTGAACTCGGTGAATGCCAGAGGCTTAACCCTTTCAGACCTGGCGTCCATTCCAATGGACATTGCATGTACATTGTGTCTGCGGTAATTTCTTGGGATTATCGTTTCTTTGTCCCCCTTATCTCACGCTACAATGGGCGCAATTATGCATGGCTCAATTCCATCGGAGGCTTCCTTTCACCCATCAGTTTTGTAATATTCAGTTATATAATTAAATATATTTTATATTATATATGGTATGATATAGTAAATGTATACAAAATATAAAAACCATATATAAAGTATATACATTTTAATTACAATAGCGTAAAGGCTAAAAAAAATATAAAAAATGATATTCTGATGGTGGCCTTCATTCAGGTCTGAAAGGGTTAATTAATTTTTCTTGGCCATGGATTTGGGAATGCGTACTTTTCTCCCCTAGGAGACAAACATTATTTAGCCATTGGCAAAGTCGGCGATATTTCCGAAAGTATGCGTATTTATGCTTTTCAAAGAACAGGGTAAAAAAAGGAGCTAAAATGCCTCACATCTGTAAAATTGCTCTTCTATCACTTGATAGTTGAAGCAGGACAACTTGGAGTATATATAAAGTATTTTTTCGAGATTTTCGATCAATGCAGGGTCCATTGTTCCTTGTTCGGTTTCTCCAATAAAATCTCATTTATTTACCAATTGAATACGGGCAGACATCCATTCCATGCGAGAATCGATGAGTGGGGTCGATCAATGGGGACGACCCAGCTGCTCTGTGAGGAGTATCAGCTCAGTACTGCGATATCACTTCGCTCGCCAATCCGCACGGCACGTCCAGTCGATACAGTTGTGGCGGTTGGCGGTTCTAAAAATAACTCTTTCCAGCGAGGGCCCTAGGCAGGCCGTCCCTGAAGGCTTCCGAACTGCGGTGGCGTGTCCCAGAGTGGGGAAATGCGGGGCCGGTTGGGATGCCTGTGTGCTCGCCGCACCACCACTTTTCTCCCCTGAATACTGTAAATGCCAAACGGTAGCTTATTTTGCGACTTCTGTCTTAATTCTTAGAAGTAAATATTATGTATATCGAAAGATCTCTTTAGTGTTCACCATGATCGCGTAAAAAGGTCATTCCTGTTGGAAAATAAATTGGGAAAGTTGTGTTGCCCGGTTATAATGATCTCTCAAGTTGTTGTAGATTGCAGAGTTGTGCGATAGAAAAATAGAAACAAGTAATGTCCGTTACTTCCTCATGTTCCTGTCACTCTTCGCACGCCCTCTTTCTCCCACGTCTTTGCCGGTTTCACTTAATTTCTTGCTCTTTTTTTTATAGCTTCCCTGACAGCATCCACAGCGAAATCTTCCAATGGAGGCGTGGACATGAAGCACGATGGCATAATCGAGCGGTTGGAGGATCTGAGGAAATACACCATCGGCGACAAGCGCAAGAATCCCCTGAGGGAAGCGAGGGATTTCGTGAGGGGGGAATTCCCCGACTGGAAGGACGGGTGCCACGTCCTCCCCGTCTTCGCCGGGGAGGCGGAGGGCGACGCGGCGGGGTGGGAGGTGGCGGGCCGGATACACGAGTGCGCCCTGGGCGAGAAGCAGCCCATGTTCGTCGTGGCGTATGCGAGGAACGGCGACGTCGGCGGGGAGATGGACGTGGTCGTGGTCCATCGGTATGCCGGGGTCAAGATTCTGCAAGTGAGAAACGCGAGAAATGCAGACCTGACGGAGCCAGAAATAAAGAATGAAATTAGGCAAAAAATCAACCAGGTGATCAGAGGAAAGAGGAAGATTTCGAAGTTGTATCAGAAGGAATTCGGAGATTCGTTCGAAAGAATCGGTGGATATGGTTGCATCCACTTCGTCGTTTTACCAAACGCCCTACAGAAATTGAAAGAGAGGGGAATCCTCAGTGCCGAAGATTGTGTAAGTCCAGACTCCTTCAAGAAATGGTGGGAAGAGTTTATTTTCTCTTGGAATCGAAATCCAAGGCCAAAACGCCTATCCGATAAGATCTACCTCAATCTACTGTCAATGTGCGCCGTTTTCTACATTATTTACCGAAATTCTGGCTGGGGTTGATTCCATGCATCGTGCGAATATTTTTGCTTCATGCTTTAGGTTCGTTGGAGCATGGTGCTTTCGACCCAGCCTCAGCAGGAAAAGCCTTGGCTGGTTGGCACCAGGGATTCCAGACACCCTGAGCAACACGGCGTCTGACACCCAGACGGACGCCACTCCGGAGCAGCGACAAAACGGGCCGAGCAAGGAGAAGCTGAACGTCCCGGGACCGGCCTTCGCCTCGCCTTATATGAGCTCCCTGATGCAATGGGTCGTCTGCGAGTCCCAGCCGTGGATCAGGACCGTGGAGGGCGTGGCCGGCACAGGGAAGACGTGGATCTTGACCGAATCTGCGTCGAACATTTTGGTCGATGAAACTTTGAGCCGCAGCAATGACCCGAAGAGACCCATGCTTGTCCTTTGCTTCAACAGACCTCTTGCTCAGTACCTAGAACATGAGATTTTTCGTGCTACGAAGGAGAAATTGGGAATGAAAAATTCCATGTATTCCAATATCCCGCTGAGTCTGAACATGACTGTGAAAACCTTCGACGCCTTCATGGAGTGGAGAGCAGAGGACACGAACAACAAAGAGAAAATTCAGTTGAATGGTTCCATGCAGCAGAAAACCCTGCGCAAGCGCGAAGGGAATAAGGTTGTAAAATTTCATCATATATTCGTGGATGAGGCCATGGATC